TTATCTTAAAGAGCTCATAGTACCTTACTACCCCACCAGAGCACTGCGCTCCCAGAATGCAGGGTTACTTGTGGTTCCTAGAGTCTCCAAAAGTAGACTAGGAGCCAGAGCGTTCAGCTATCAAGCTCCTCTCCTGTGGAACCAGGTTCCAGTTTGGGTTCAGGAGGCAGACACCATCTCCACATTTAAGAGTAGGCTTAAGACTTTCCTCTTTGATAAAGCTTATAGTTAGGGCTGGCTCAGGTGAGTCCTGAACCATCCCTTAGTTATGCTGCTATAGGCCTAGACTGCCGGGGGATTTCCCATCACAGCTGTACGGTTTCTCTCCAGTGTGAACTCTCTGATGAATCTTCAAATATTTAGATGTTGCAAAGGATTTGTCACAGTGCTGACAGCGGTGATGTTGGAGTCCATCTCCTCCTCTCTCTCTCGAGTAACAAAACAAGAGTGAGTCAGATGTCATGGTGGAGCGAGCCATGTAAAACCATGAATGACATTAGAGCACATCTTTGAAATCACATACTGTACCACATAGTAAGTACACACACACCCAGTGTGTACTGAATACTAAATAAGCAGGTGGAGGTGGAGTGTAACAAATTACAATAACCTTACTGCCATTCAGTAGTTTGTGTATTTTTTAAATCTGTACTTTTACTGAAGTATGTTTTGTATTAAGAATTGTACTTACCTGTACATTTTCAATACATTCTTTAATAAGTTTTAAAGAAGTCCAAGTAAAAACTTCAAGTGCAAGAGAACAACAGCTTCATGGTGCAGTGTGAGCTGTGAAAAAATGCTGTATTAAGTAGGAGGGAGGATAACGTTACTACCAGCGGATCAAAAACGTAATGCACAGCAGAGTAAAGGGCAGGTAGACTTCTTATTAAATAACGACGTTAGTCAGGTAATATTCTGTCTTTCCTCTGGACCTGTCAGAGAAGATCTGTGGGAGAGATTCTGAATGTGCACAAAGCCTTGAGCAGAAAAGTCCAGGAGTTTATAACTAAATTAAATAAGTAATTTATCATTATGGTGAAAAGGTGCCACAGTCACATTTAAAGAGGTTACTTCCCCAAACAAAGACACAAAGAGGAGGGAACACTGAATCATGAGGGCATCAGGGATGATAAAAGAAGTTGATCAACAGGAGAAACAGATCTGATAGAAGCACAGAATGACTGAGAGCTGCATTGACTTGTATTCTGTTACAGGTAGGTTATAGATTTGGAATCACCACCTGCCTCCTGAAGTTTCTTTCTCTTTATATAAATAAATTAAAAAATCCCCATAAGCTGCTGCAGAAAAATTCAGCAGAATGCAGGAAATAAAGTGTTTAATGCTCAAAAAACTATGTACACAAAAGGCCTATTTCTCTCACATATTGTTCACAAATCTGTAAACATCAGTGATTCTGAAAGTAACTGTAGCTGTCATGACTGATGACTGAGGTTTCAGCACCAGCTATCAATTTATTTGTTTTCTGCTATCAAAGCAATCTGCCCACGGGCCAGATATTTACATTTATTCATTTAGCTGACACTTTTATTGCACAGTCTGCACTTCCTATTGCAGACCACTGGTGTATGGCATCGTGTGGGTGAGCGGTTTGCTGATGTCTGAACTGATGAACTATTTGGTTTGGGCTATTTATTTCTTATTGTCCTTTTAAATGCACTACAATAGTAGCTGAAGATGATATGGCAATACCAGGTGAAATGACAATGAAGTTTATCTATCTATAACTACTTTACCGATAAATCATTGAGCTCCATCTTAATTATTAAAGATCATCGGCCATAAATTAAAAGTGAACATAAACATTAAATATGGCCAAACCAATGTACATTCGCCTGGTATATTTTTGAAAGATTGTGTAATAACTGTTGTATTTCAGCTTCCTTTTATCAAATTTACAGTTACAGTTGTATTTAGGTGTATTAGAAGATATTCAGGGGCATTATAGTCTACCTTGAGATGGTTTATTGCATCAAAATAAAGCTTTTTTATGAATATATTATATTTTTTCTGTATTTCATATCCATGTAGTCTGTAATGGTAAAATAAATATGTTAATCTACAATGGATTTACATTCCTAAGCTTCTGACCTTTCAAAGGAGACTAGAATTATGCATTTAGGCCAAATGGTTGAGGAGATATTACTGATTTATTTTGGATATGTTATTTTAGGCCTTTTTCCTAGAAATGGGTGCCAGGTAGGAGGTGGTTTTAAATTTTTTTAATAAAAACAAACCCAATCACTTCAGTGGAGGAGCGCCAATGTTGTAATGAGCCGTTAAACTGTTTCTGACGTATTCTAAATATATCTGGCAGCCGCCTGTCTGCAGTTATAGTCGTGCGTGTCTATTATGTCTATTATGGAGAGTGGACATGTAAATAAACGTGAGCTGAACAAGAATCCAACACGGCTTCCTGTAGCTCCTCTTTGTGTGACGTTGTAGATGTGAGGCTGGAGGAGTATTATACCTCTGCAGATTCCTGGCGCATGTGGCAAGGCCTGCAGCACATTACGGGGTAATATCAGCTGATATGAGGTAATTGCAAATATAACTGCTAATAAACTGGTACCAGTGTTTATTTCAGCCAATTAATGGTGATTAAAAACAGAGAATAGGATCCTTCACTCCTGTCATGAGCGTTGTATAGATTGCCTACCAGATCGGGATCCGGGATCCCGTGGAGTGTTCTCGCGATGTCACGGCATCTCGCCCCGCCCCTTAGTTACTGTCGCTAAGGCCGTTTAGAAACATGGCTCCTTGATTTCAGGCAGAAGATGAAGTTTAGTTAGTTGGTTTCCTGAAACCAGCTGATCATATTTGATGTGTATGAGGGAGTGTGCTTCACACAGAGCAGAGTTTTAATGAAGCGCTTGTTATTATCACATCAGAGGCTCATGAAAATATCCTGCTGAAGCTTTTTGTACAACAAAGACAGAAATAACTTCATGTGTTACATTTAATGTTGAATTTACAGGAAGGCAGAATCATTAAGAATTAGCCGTAGACAGCGTTTCACAAAGTTTCTAAAGTGTCCTCTAACTCAACAAGTCACTAAACTGCACGATTGTTGAAGGGAGTCTGGGACTTTCTCCCCGGGCCACAAAGGAGTAGCTATATTACGGTTACTGTTTAAATGGTGAAATCAGATGAAACAGATAGTTTGTTCACAAACTAACAGCTAAGAGAGTCCAAACACATCATTAACATCACAGTGAAGCTGTTTGTTCACTTAACGGGCCATCGTGTGTTTGTCCAGGTTGGCTCTCTATTCAAATGGGGATCAGCTGCTTGAAAAGGCGACTGATGCGCATTTTCACCTCTCTTCAGGTGATCAGCTTGAATAGGAGGCAGAGAGCTGAACATGTGGACATCAGCTGGCTATTCAGCTGCATTAATGAGCAGCCCAAACAGATGCAAACACAAAGCCACTGAAGGAAAACTGTGTGTTGTGAATGTAGCCTGCAAACCTCTTTAGTCTCCGTTAATACAGAAAAAATTAGAAATGAAACAACAGCATGTTAATGTGATGCTCATCTGTGTTAGTGAGCACTTCTCCTTTGCTTTGATAATCCATCCACCTCACAGGTGTGGCATAATAAGATGCTGATCAGACAGCATGGGTATTGCAAAGGTGTGCCTTAGGCTGGCCACAATAAAAGGCCACTCTAAAATGTGCAGTTCCATCACACAGCACAATGCCACAGATGAGGGAGCATGCAATTGGCATGCTGACTGCAGGAATGTCCACCAGAGCTGTTGCCCGTAAATTGAATGTTCATTTCACTACAATAAGCCATCTCGAAAGGCATTGGCAGTACATCCAACCGGCCTCACGTGTATTTATGCATTTATGGACCTTGCTCAAGGGCACCTCAGTGGTGTTAAATAAGGGAGGGCGAGCGCTGGTTGTTTTACTTTCTACACCCAGATTTTTATCCTTCTGGTCCGGGGATCTCTAACCTTTGGGCCACCACTGCCCACTCCAGTCTTCCCGCCCCTCATCACTGCACAGCATTTAGTTCTAGCATAAGGGCTGATGCATCAGCATTTTTTTACTTTCCTGCTGGCTAGATGCTGCTTATAACTCAGACCAGCCCATCATCATAAAATATAACAAAACATTCAGAATTCTGTCCATGTTCAGGTACGTAGACTCATTAGCATAAAATCAAACCAGCTTGTAGCCCAGCTCACAGTCAGCACCTTTCAGTAACACGAGACTCAAACACACAGCATAGAGCTGGACAGACAAATGTCTCCACACAACAAGCTGATGTCAGCGAGGAAGTGTCGTAGAAAGACGGGTGTGTCATTTGACATTTGGATAAAAGCTTAAATGAATAAATGTAAATGTCTGTTACAGAAAAAAAGCCGTTTTTTTCCAAATAAATTCAAACATCGCCATCATGAAGCAGGACCGTCCGACCTGTTTAAAGTTTCACATATCAATCCAAAATATTTAGGAACACACTCAAAAGAAAGACACATGAGAAATACTTTGAGGAATCACAAGAATAATTCATATCCACTATTTAAACTGTTCCAGGAGATATTCCGTGTACCAAGTGTTAATACAACATGTGTCTGATTTTCTCCAAACCTGTTTCCTCTTCAGATCCCATAAAAACAAGAGCAAAACATCTGCATGGAGGAAATTATTTTCTACAAGGTGTTTCAGTTCAGTTCCTAACAGAGGTGATCTCAGTGCAACTCAATGTTTCTTACTACATGTTTTATTTCTGTAACATACCAATGAGCAGTCCTTCTCTAGTCTGATGACTGACTGGTGTCCTCATCTAATAGCATCAAACACCAACACAAATTCTTTACAGGGCTGTAACCAGGGTTTAGAGATGAGTGAGGTCCAGCTATTTTGCTTCTTAATAGAGCTTATTACAAAAATTACACCTAAACACAACAAACTTTCTACTCAACAGTCACATAAACTAATGATCTATAATGAAATACAAACAAAGGGACCTGTTGGCAGAACAATCTTTTATTAAAGCTGAATGTTGCTCTCTTCTTCTTCTGTGTGTGTGCATTGAAGGCTTGAACCAGCACTGTGTTTGACTGAAGAACAAACTACAGGCTGGCCAAAGTCTTTCTCCACACTTCAACAAAATCACTTAAATTAAGAGACACAGACACAAAAGTTATGGTCAAGTAGGCAACAGGGAACACTTGGTATACTAATCTTCACAACATGTAACGGAACAAAATATTCACTTATATTATCCTTTAATGCCAATTAAATGTTCCAGTCTCTCTTTTTTTGGAAATCACAGTGACATTTGACCCCCAAAACTCTAATCATTCTTATTTTGTCATGAAATTGTCCTCATTTCGTCTTTAACTGGTTAACAGACGCCCTAAAGTGACGTCCTCTCTATGTAGAATAAACATCTCATTTTTATTAATTTCTTCATCTTTATGATTTCTGATGGCTCCTGCTAAACACATCTTCATGTTTCTATTCAGGTTATTTGGTTAGTTATGAGGATATTTCACAGAAAAATGTGTAAAAAAAAAATACTTAAAAGTACAAAGCAAAGAGAAATTCTTATAAAATAAGCAACTTATTTACTAAATGATTCAACATGATTATGAAATAAGCTAAAACCTTACTTAAAAAATATATTGAATTCCTAAGTTACAAAATTAATTGAAATTATTATGAAATACAAAAAATGTATCATAAAAGGGTGTTTTTGCTCATATTTGTTTAATTCTGATGATTTTTGATGATGTGCATTGACATGCTTCACTTTTATTTTATTTTATTTAATTTATAACAGTATTCTGCTCACATTGTTCCAAATCCGCCTGGGTCGGTGTGGCCGAAGACTGTAAAGGTTATTGAGATGGTAGGAGGCAGATTTGGTGATGTTTTTGATGTGAGACTAGAATGGAAGAGTGAGTCCGGGATGACTCTCGGATTTCACACTTCAGGGGATGCAGAAATGGAGCAGCTATCTACCTCCAGGAGAACGTCACCAACTTTCTTCATCAGCAACGCTGGAGCCACCACGAGTTCAGTTTTATTGGTGTTAAGTTTGATGAAGTTAGCAGTTGTCCAAATCTTTGTTTCTCGCAGGCAGTTAACAAGTGGCAAGGGTGGTAGCTGGGTTGAGGGTTGGTTGCTTATGTACAGCTGGGTGTCATCAGCATAGTAGTGGAAATTAAGTCCATGTAATCTAGCCAAGGGTTAGCATGTAGATATTGAAAAGAAGGGGTCCACCAAGTACAGATCCCTGGGGCACACCATTGTTAACTGGCACCAGTGTGAAGCTGAAGTCTTTAAAGGTGATATATTGTTTCCTGTTGAAGAGATGGGACAGGAACCAGGAGAGCATTGTGCCAGCAAGGCCAATAAGTTCAGAGAGGCTGTTAAGAAGGAGGGTGTGTGAGATAGCATCGAAGTCTGTAGAGAGGTCAAGGAGGATGATTATATTGATGAGAGAAGATCATTTGTGATGTTGATGAGAGCAGTCTCTATGCTGTGATGTACTCCGAAACCAGATCGGTGGGACAGTTTATCATGTACAGTAGAACACATGGTGTTGTGCAACCACAACTCTTTCCAGGATTTTATTGAGGAAAGGTAGATTATCTGGGTCCAGACTGTTGAGGCACTTATGATGCCAACCATGGTTCAACAGAGGGTGGGAAGACATGACATATTCAGTACAAATTAAAAAAACAACACCAACATAGAAATCGTTAAGATTTATCATTAACATCTCTAACACAAGATCATGCTGTCTTTGTCACTTGTTTATGTCATTGCCAGCCCAATGAAACATATTGGTATTTTGAAAATCACTATGAATAAAAATCTGGCATGGATATGAATAAATTTCTTTTAACTGTATTTGTGAGGACTTTTAAAGACTGACGTCTTCAGTAGGAACCAATGGGCTTGAGCAACAGACAGGAAGGCTGAAAATACTAACACATTGTTGGTTTTGCTCTGTTCATGTTGAGGGCAATACAAATAGAGTTTATTGTAATCTAATAACTCCAGCCGTATATCCTTGACTGAGCTGATGGTGGGTTGTGAGGCAGCTGAGATGAGCTCCTTGGAGGTCTTACTCTGCTCCCTGAGCTCCTTCCTCTTCAGTCGACCCTCCTTCAGCTGCAGAAACACCCACGTTATAATAATGCAGCTCAATGTTCTCCTGCCTGCCCGGCTTCTGCCCCCTGCTGGCCTGGAGAGACATGACAGCACACATGAGAGTTAGTGCATCACTCCTCCTCTTCTTCAGGTCAGTAAACACAGACCGAGTGCTTCATCTCAGTCCTCTAAACAACAGACATGTGTCAGTACCTTATAGTAGAAACAAAGGGCAGCGATCACCAACAGCAGAGTCAGCGGCAGGACGACCACTTTGATGAGAAGACCTGTTGCATCTGATCAAACACATGGACAGACATCACATCACACAACATCATGAGTCCATCAGCTCCTGTTAAACACAAACTGTAGTGACCTGTAATCTCCCAAAACCACTTCAGTCCATCAGTAATCTCTATCAAAAGATATCTGAATGCAGAATCTGGAGGCAAGAGACAAGATTTTGGTATCGAAAGCTTCCTGGTTTCATTAAGTAGTATCGACCAGTCACGTTTAAGCAGGCTTTGGCTTGGTGTCTGATTCTGTTTTGTAGGAAAAAAATGGGACTTGGGTAAAACTTTGCAGATTGCAGATTTTACTGCTTAATTTAGCTAGCTCCCCGTTTGTGAGGAGGAGGGCGATGAGGACGGTGAGAATGATGTAAACATACAGCAGATCTCCTCGTTATTTCACCCATACAACAACACATGCACAGTATTTTAGAAAAAATGCTGCAGTGCAGTGGCGTCTCTGTCTCTCTATCTCACTCTTTCGATCTCTCAGAGAGAGGATGTGGTGACATTTCACTCACCCTATCTGAAAAGGAAGGCTATTCCCCTGTCTTTCATGGGGGTGAAGTGGTTAATAACCAAGTTATAGAATTTTACACTGGCTTTTAGGTCCTCCAAAACAACAGTCAATTGACATTTGACCCTTTTTTCCTGTCCACATGCAGCTCCAGTATTTGCATTGGTCAGATTTAACCTTAAATTGCTGCTGTAGTGGTAGTTTAGTAAAACTAATAACATGCATAACTGCACCAGATAAAGTTGCTTACATCTTTTTTGATTTGATTGGCATGAAGCCAGACAGCGCCATCATCCTAACTACTTACAGTTAGGCAGTGGCATGACAGTGGCCTCATCTGATTGGTTAATCATTCCATTTTTTTCATAAAGGGATGCCAACTCTGCCTTACCTCCCCACATAGTCAGACTGCAGGTCAGTCTATGGTGGAGCAATATATCACCACATATCCAACGCATAGCATTTAGAGGGGCACTGTTTCACTTATTGTAAAATAGTGAGAAATAGGGAAGAGATGACAACAACAGCTCATAAGATTTTCTAAATATAAACAATGTGTTTTTATTAAAAATGATAACTAGAGTCTGAAAAAAACAGCCTGGCTTCCCTTGGCCTCTGGGAAAAAACACCACTGCTGCAGTATGAGAAAGCATCTACAGTGGTGTGAAAAAGTGTTTGCCCCCATTCTGATTTCTTATTTTGTTGTTTGTCACAGCGAAATGTTTCAGAAGATCTAACAAATTGAAATATTAGAAAAAGATAACACAAGTTTAAAAAAACACATTTTTGAACAAAGAATCCAAACCTATATAGCCCTGTGTGAGAAACTGATTGCCCCCTTAACCTAATAACTGGTTGGGTAACCCTTAGCAGCAATCAGTCGTTTGTGATAATTGTCAATGAGTCTGTTAGAGCGCTGTGGAGGAATTTTGGCCCACTCATCTTTGCAGAATTGTTATAATTCAACCACATTGGAGGGTTTTTGAGCCTTAACCTCTTTTTTAAGGTCATGCCACAACATCTCAATCGGATTCAGGTCAGGACTTTGATTAGGCCAAAGTCTTCATTTTGTTTTTCTTAAGCCATTCAGAAGTGGACTTGCTGGTGTGTTTTGGATCATTGTCCTGCTACAGATGGCCGGACATTCTCCTTCAGGATTTTTTGGTAAAAAGCAGAATTCATGGTTCCGTTTACCACAGCAAGTCTTCCAGGTCCTGAAGCAGGAAAACAGCCCCAGACCATCACACTACCACCACATTTTACTGTTGGTATGATGTTCCTTTTCTGAAATGCTGTTACTTCTACACAGATGTAATGGGGCACATACCTTCCAAAAAGTTCAACTTTTATCTCCACAGAGTATTTTGCCAAAAGTCTTTGGGATCATCAAGATCTTTTCTGGCAAAACTGAGACGAGTCTTTATGTTCTTTTTGCTCAGCAGTGGCTTTTGTCATGGAACTTTGCCATGCAGGCCATTTTTGACCTGTCTCTTTCTTATGGCGGAGTCATGAACACTGACATTAACTGAGGCAAGTGAATCCTGCAGTTCTTTGGATGATGTTGTGGGGTTTTTTGTGACCTCTTGAATGAGTCGTTGCAGCGTTCTTGGGGTGATTTTGGGCAGGTCCTATTTTAGTGATTTCCATGTAGATTTGGATTTTTCCCCTTAATAATAAAAACCTTCATTTAAAAACTGCATTTTGTGTTTACATGTCTATATTACAATGTGTTTGATCTAAAACATGTCGGGGTGACAAACATGCAAAAAAAATAAATTAGGAAACACTTTTTTTACGCCACTGTAAATACATAAATGCTGCAAGTAGCACAGAAGACAGTGGAAAACTAAAAAGTGGCAAACACACCGGCAGGAAAACGCAACCAAAACGTACATGTTAGCTCAGTTTCCAGTGCATTGTGGCCTGCAGGGCCACCGTACCTGACATTAGTCACAGTCAGTCAGAAACACAACATCCTTGGAAACTGTCAGCTGATCGTGTTCAGTCAGTTTGGACAGATCATCTTTTCCAAAGCTGCATGGAAACAGTCAGTGTGACGTTTCAGCTGCTCTGCTTCAGCTTACCTGAGACAGTGAGAGACAGCCGACGGCTCTCAGAGGAGAAGTCATGAGAAAAAACATGGAGGTGATAAACACAGCTGTAGTTTCCTTGGTGGGCGGGCTCTGCAGCAGGAAACAGGAAGTGGGCAGAGTGATTGACAGCTGGCTGGGTGTAGTTGTGTGATGTGATGGAGGAGGTGAAGGCGAGCTGGAAGGAGCCTCCTGGGTACTGTGGCTGGATGGAGCAGCTGATGGTGAAGGTGGAGCCCCTGAACACCTGAAACCCCTGCTGCTGGGCCTCGGAGACCCCGTTCACGGAGGAGGACACAGAGATGTTGGGCTGAAGCAGCAGGTCTGTAAACACAGATGATGAAAGGTCTCATTCACCCTCTGTTCATGACACAACTTTATTTTGAAAGGATGAAAATCGAATCCCTTTAGCGTTACAGACGATCAGCCAGTTTTCTAAGGCCTCAGGCTTACAGTTGAACGTAGATAAATGTGAAATGATAACCTTACATGATTATCCTCTGCAGTCACTACATAATATAAAAATTAAGAAGCAGGTTAAATACTTGGGAATTGTTATTTCCAAAGGGAAAAGAACAATTGGCTATATGAATACGTGGAATCAGACAAATGTAAGTCAATTCTAAATAGGTGGCTGCAGAGTGACGTCACAATCTTAGGAAGGGTTCTACTCTCTACAACGGATAGTTTGTCCAGACTCATTTACCCGGCTTTCTCCTTACCCATATCAGTGAGTATGATCAAAGCAGTGAATACAATCAATTTTAACTTCATGTGGAGAAATAAATTCCGTTATATAAGGAAGACTGACATGGTTAAAACTATGAAGATGGCGGTATGAATGGGACTCATTTTGATATCATGAACAGTGTTTTGAAATTGAAATGCTTAAACTCTTTCTTTTTGGTTTGTCTCCAATGCCATTTTTCAAAAAATGTGTGGAATACATTTTTTTTCTCCTGTGTGATTATGATTGCAGCTCAATACCCGTTAAACTCTCTGCTTTCCGTCAGCAAGTCCTTCTCTACAGGAAGTTAATATATAATCACACCACACAACACACCAGTGTGGAATAACAGATACATTTTGGTTAATAGAAAATCTTTGTTCATCGATGAATGGAGATCTAAAGGAGTTTGGGCAGTCGCTCATTTTATGGATGATAATGGAGTTTTGTACAACATTTCAACGCCAGTGTTCTGTCAAATAATAGTGCTGAGGATGAATTAGAGTTTAAGAGTCTGATAGCTTGGGGGGGAAAGCTGCTCTGCAGTCTGGTGGTGCAGCAGCAGAAACTTCTATGTCTCTTCCCAGAAGGCAGCAGGGTGAACAGGCTGTGGCTGGGTGGGTGCTGTCCTTTAGTCTCCTCTGGGCTCTGATATCACTGATGCTCGGGAGATGGGTACCAATGATCTTCTGAGCAGTTTTAATGCTGGGCCGTGCACATCCCATGCCAGTTTGTGACGTTTGGTTAGTAAAAGAAGTGAACTTCAAAAGTTTAAATGAGATTTACCCAACAATTGAATTTTTCAAGTGAGATTTAATTTTGATGTAAATGCTCCGTACTTGTATAGCGTCTTTTTAGTCTTTAGACCACTCAAAGCACTTTTACACTACATCTGCATTCCCTCACATTCAGTATCAGTATCTTGCCCAAGGACACTTCGACATGCGGCGATTGCGGGATTGAACTGCCAACCTTCAGATTAACGGCCAAACCGCTCGACCCCCTGAGCCACAGCTGCCCAAATAAATAACTTTTTTTTTTGTGAAAGGGAAGTTGAGAGTTTGGAACCCATGTTTTGTTATTGTGAGTTTGTGCAGTCCTTCTGCTGTGATATGTGGAGCTGGCTACAGTCCAAGGAGATGGTGTCGTCACCACTGACAGTAGAGTCAGTAAACAAAATGGCCCCTGAAAAAGGAAGTGATGTCACAGGTCTGACACGAGTAACAAACATGGAGCAGAGCGATGACAGACTGTAAAAGGAGGGACTGGATCCACCTGGTGGGACGTCCCCAAACACAGAGACAGACAGACAGACAGGTTCCTCCAGGTGTGTCCTGTCAGGTGAAGCTTCCAGAAACAAGCCCACCTCTCTACACTTTAGGACGTCACTGTCCTGGAGAACTTTACAGTTCAGTCCAATGGAAACCACTGAGACACTGAGACAGAGGAGAGGACACACTGGAGACATTACTGTCATACATGATGTCATAGATGATGTCACTGATGGACTTACCTGAGCAGGTGAGATCCAGGATGGAGGAAGAGGAACCTGATTCTACACACTCCCTCAGAGCAGATCCAGACTGAACACAGACAGAGCTGATCCACCACACAGGTCTGTCTGAGGACTCCTCTCTCTGTCCTACAGAAACAGCAGAGCCACAGTCCAGATCTCTACAGACAACAGGTGCTGTCTTCAGGGTCCAGACAGAGTAAATCACTGGTCTCCAGTCTCCCTGTTTCAGCTCCAGTGTTCCTGCACAGCGACTGGCTCCTCCCACCAACCTGACAGGCTCTGAACAGAAACCAGAGAGTCATCAGTAAAACAATAAAGTGAGTTTCATCAGAAGAGAAATGAACCAAATCAAAGCTGCAGCTCCTCTTCTACCTGAGCAGGTGAGTCCAACAGCTTTTCCAGGTGAGCAGGTGTTTCTAGCTGAGCCTGAGCTTCTACAGTCCAGGAGAGCAGACTCATGGCCTCCACACTGGAACTCTTTGGTCCACATCGGAGCCTCCACTTCTCCATAGAGCGCCCCCTGGAGGACTGAAGGAGCCCCACAGCCGAGCTCCCTACAGACCACCTCTGCATCCTGCTGGTCAAAGTCAGCTTCACACACTGAGGACCACCTCTGGTTAGACTGGTTAGACTGGTTAGACTTCACCTCCAGTCTGCCTGAGCACAGACTAGTCCCGTCCAGCAGCCTGACAGAGTCTGGAGAGATAATAGAAGATGAAGTAGAGATAAAGACACCACACTGATTTACGTGTAATTAGACTTTTGAGTTACCTGTTAAAACTGGTTGAAACATGGGACCTACAGTAGAACTGTTCCTTTTCCCTGCTTACACCAAGAGTGTTTGTGCACATTTACCTCCATTAATGCACTTAAGGTCCACTTGTCAAAGATTCATCAGAAACCTCAGGATACACAAATGTGACAAAGTGCCCAAGTAACATTTCTCTGTCAGCTGTGTGATTTTTCTGCTCCCTGCACAGAAGCAGTTTTTTTCACGCAGTACACATTTAAAAGTTAATCACAGAGTCCAGTGTCGATATAAAGGATGTAAATTTCATACTAATGTATAGTCCATATCTAATGCACATAGAAGCAAAGAGCACAGAACAGACAGCTGGAGGATGTTTAAGCCAGAGGTAGTCTCAGTAGTGTAACTAATGAAATGGCCCAATAACAACATGTGCCTCCAGATGACGCCCCTGATTTAGAAGACCGTGAGGATTCCAGCAGTGAAGAGCTTCATGATCAGGGGAAACAGCTGGAGCACAATCTAGCTTCTCTTTTTTTGAAGATGCAAACCATCCTACACACTCCAGAAAGTTGTGTGCAAGAGGTCAAACAACAACTCATCCAGATCTGTGAACTTTCCCAGCCACTGCTGCATAATTCAGTCAGGGACGTTCTTAAAAACACACAGATGTAGACGATTCAACTGTGAGACATTTGGTCAGGGCTGCCACAGAGAGAAATGTAATAAGATTTTGTGGCACCTTATCAACCACTAAAAGAAGATCAGCTCATGTGAACAAACATTTTAAATGGCCGTCGAGTATATTATTGAGAGAGGAAAAAAATCAAGTGTTGTATATATTCCTCTAAATGCAATGCTACAGCAAAAGTTGAACAGGCAGACATTTTAGACAAAGCTCTTCCAGTAGAAAAGCATGAGCCTCATGAGTACAGAACATACAGAGATGGTTCATGGTGGAGAAGAGTTCAGAACTGCTGTTGATGATTTTGAGGTCCGTTGGGAACCTCTAACAAGAAGCACAAAATGAGTGCAGTGTATTGGGTGATAGCTAATGTAGCATCAAACTATAGGTCCACACTCCACTCAGCCTCTGATCTAAAAGAATATGGCTATGCTAAAATTCTCCATCCGCTCATCCAAGATCTGCTTTCTTTGGAGCAACACGGTGTTTATGTTGAGAAGCTGGGAGCATGTATTAAAGGCACAGTGTTGTATGTGGCTGCTGATAACTTGGCTGCTCATTCTCTCACAGGATTCTTTGAAAGCTTTGCAGTGGACAGGTTCTGCAGGTTCTGCATGGCAAAGAGAAGCCAGATCCAAGAAAAGGAGGTATGTTCAGGCCCCTTTGAACCCTGAACTAAAGACACTCAGAACAGGACGTTAGTAAATCTGGCCCATTGTGTTACAGAGTGTTACTTTGCAATGTTTGATCTAAATTAATTACATGGAAACACTGAAATGTATAAATGTAAATATTAGATCATTTCTTCCCTTCCAGCTGGTTAAAACTAATTTATTTAAATACAATAATCTCAAAGTCAACATATAATAAATAAAGAAAAGAAAAGAAACAAGATGATTTATATGAACAGATTATTTTAAGCTGTGATGATGAATGTTTTGCTTTATATTTGTTATATATTTCTTTGCATGTGTAACTTAAAATCCTTAGTTTAGACAACATGACTTCAGGATAAAAAGGATTTCTGTTCACTAATGATTGTGAGTAATGACTACTAAAGCAAACTTGATTTGTCTACTGCATCAACTTAAGCTTCTGTGTTAATACAACTTAACCATTAAGTTTTACCTTGTGTAAAAACTGAAATGGTTTAAGGCAACGGGTTTCCACGTGAATATCTAGTAAAGTCAACTCATTTGGGATTAGAGTGAGACAAAATAAAAACATGTCATGAAACAACAACTCAGTGATTCAAACTGGACTCAGCACAACTCCAACATCAGTTCATCATTAACAACAGAACACGTCTTTATACATCTGGGGCTTACCTGAGCAGGTGAGATCCAGGATGGAGGAAGAGGAAGATGATGATGCACACTCCCTCAGAGCAGATCCAGACTGAACACAGACAGAGCTGATCCACCACACAGGTCTGTCTGAGGACACCTTTCTCTGTCCTACAGAAACAGCAGAGCCACAGTCCAGATCTCTACAGACACCAGCTGCTTTCTTCAGGGTCAAAAAAGGGTCACTCATTGGTCTCCAGTCTCCCTGATGTTTCACCTCCAGTGTTCCTGCACAGCGACTGGCTCCTCCCACCAACCTGACCTCATCAGGCTCTGAACAGAAACCAGAGAGTCATCAGTAAAACAATAAAGTGAGTTTCATCAGAAGAGAAATGAAGCAAATCAAAGCTGCAGCTCCTCTTCTACCTGAGCAGGTGAGTCCAACAGCTTTTCCAGGTGAGCAGGTGTTTCTAGCTGAGCCTGAGCTTCTACAGTCCAGGAGAGCAGACTCATGGCCTCCACACTGGAACTCTTTGGTCCACATCGGAGCCTCCACTTCTCCATAGAGCGCCCCCTGGAGGACTGAAGGAGCCCCACAGCCGAGCTCCCTACAACCACCTCTGCATCCTGCTGGTCAAAGTCAGCTTCACACACTGAGGACCACCTCTGGTTAGACTGGTTAGACTGGTTAGACTTCACCTCCAGTCTGCCTGAGCACAGACTAGTCCCGTCCAGCAGCCTGACAGAGTCTGGAGAGATAATAGAAGATGAAATAGAGATAAAGACACCAGAGACAAAATAAAAACATGTCATGAAACAACAACTCAGTGATTCAAACTGGACTCAGCACAACTCCAACATCAGTTCATCATTAACAACAGAACACGTCTTTCTAACAGCACAGACATTTACATTTAATACTCTGTCACACTTGTTCTCCACGTCTGAACACTTTCAACATGTTTCCAAACAGCAGCACAACATCATCATCTGCAAGATCACTTTAAAATATAACTTTGCTGCCTGTGCCTTTTATTATGGACATGTAGCCAACCAAACCGCTTGCTTTGCAGTAGCACAGGCTGCCAAAACAATCTGATTATTCCTGAAGCATCTAAACAATCTTCACAACACAGATAATTATTGTGGCAGTAACACGAGAGCAGCTGGTTGTTGAAGCAGGTAAACTACATACAGAGGAAGCTGTGCGTCGTGCGTAAAGCCCAACAGGACTGTTTTATTATCTCTCTCTGTGCGTCTGAAAAATAAATAACAGCTGGTAGCTGCTGAGTGAAAGTCAGTTTCACCGGCGACTTTCTGTTGATGGACTCACCGTCGGACATCGCGATGAAACAAATAGTAACCGATGTGTATTAAAGAAAAGAAACAGGCTAATGTCCAAAGCGATGCTCTGTTCAACAACAGAACACTTTTAATATATCAGAATCAATGCAGTGATCGTCTGACAAAGATCTTACAGTGTGTAGTCTTCATTTGCTCTGCAGAGACTAAAGACGCTTTTAATAGAAAGTGAAAGTGTTTCACTTGCCGGCTTGTTAAAGAGCGACGCAGGCTGCTTTCCAACAGACCAGCAGGTCCACGGTGTGGCTCACTACATTTCAGTTGTATTAGTAGAACATAAAAAGATATTTGCTGATTTTCTAAAGGTTTGCATCCGCCCAGCTCTGTGACCGTGACAAGCGCCCGACCAGCGCTTTACTGCGTGACTGCACACACACAGCCTGGAGGAGCTCATTTCTGTTAATGAAGCAAAATGCAGATTACAGACTGGAGAAGTTATAAAAGGTGTGAATGGAAGATGTAGTGAAATTAAGAGTAGGCCTACATTAGATGTACCCACCCCTGCTGCAGACATCATCACTGCTGCCTTCAGCTAGAAGGAACAGCAGCACAAAGAAAAGTCTGTAATACTGAGGAACTTTGCTGCTCCGGCCTCCAGCAACTTGGTTTTTCCTCCCTCAACATTTCTACAGGCTACATTCTGTCCGCGACTGATGTGGACTGTGAGTGATTGACTGGTCTCTTAGTAAACCGCCTCCTATATGAGCCAGCTCCAAAATAGTTGTCTTTTGTTCTTCTGAGATCGGAGGCTTTTCAAAAAACATCCGGGCTAACGACGCCGCTGGTGGAGAGTATAGTTAGGCCTACTAGAGAGGAGCTGGTGCAGAGCGGAGCGGGTCGTGGAGCGGTTAGGGTCAGACAGCAGTGTGGAGCTGTAGGCT